TGAGCAGAACAGGTGCTTAAACTCCATTTCCTTTGGAGCCACCAGGGTCATTAGCCGCTAATAAACTGAGGGAACTGTTTTAAATCAACTGATTTAAACCCATCCAGCAGAGGGGTTTTTGCCAGAAAGCATTGCATGGCTTGGAAAGGCAGCAGAGCTGGGGAAGGTCGAGAGTCAGGCAAAAGATAATGGGGGAGAGACGGAGACAGAGAGACAGAGACAGAGACAGAAATAGCAGAGACAGAGACACAGACACAGACAGAGACACAGAGAAAGACAGAGAAAGAGACAGAAAGACAGAGATAGCAGAGAGATAGAGACAGAAAAAGCAGAGACAGAGTCATAGAGAGAGACAGAGACAGAAAGAGAAAGACAGAGACAGCAGAGACACAGAGAAAGACAGAGACAGCAGAGGCAGAGATACACAGAAAGACAGAGACAGAGAGAGACCGAAAGAGAGGGAGAGACAGAGAGCGAGCACGAGCATATGACCCCAGGAGGACACATCAGGGAAAAAAACTTCTAATCTAGACAGACAGACTGAGGAGTGAGTTAAAGATCCATGTATCTTCCTAAGGAAGTGAATGCAGGAGCAAGGGCTTCTCCCGCCATCCCCAGAGATGAAAACCTGGAGTATTATCATAAAGCTTCAAAGAGATCAGTGGAGGACCAGAGAAAGGAAGGGTAATTTTATAAAGTGTGTTGTAAATGTATGGATGTTATCCAACAGATTTGGAAGAATCCATTTAGGAGGTGCCTACCTAGTGCAAAACACTGAGAGTACAATGACCACATTTAAAAAGTCTCTGCCCCCAATGAACTCCCTGCTGAGGGATGTGGCGTTTAAAGAAGGAGCTAGGGTATGGGGCCTGGAGGAGACTTGGGCAGGCCCCGATCACAGCCTTCCGATATTTGAGGACTGTTATATCCCTCTATCTTACGGGACCACACTTCCTTCACATCCTTATGTCACTGCTCCAGCTAAAATGGACTGTTCTTTATTTTCTTACATACCCTGGATTTTCCTGCTTCCTTACCACCGCCCTTGCTGTTCCCTATGCCTGAATTATCATCCCTTCCACTCTCTGCCCATTCAATGTTTATCCTTCGGTCAAAGCACAACTCCGTTACCTCCTTCTCATCCAGAAAGTTGATCCTGATCCCTCTGCTGATAACTATTCCTCCTCCCACCATGTCAGCACATCACATAGTACCCTGTCTTATTGTGTATTGCAGTTATCTATGTTGGTGTCTCATTCCCCTACAAGACTGTGACAGCCATTAGGGTAGGGACTGCCCTTTATCTAAACTTAGCATCTCCTCTACTGTCTAACATAATATAGTGCTCTTAATGAAATGTGCACCTAATGAGAAATGTGAATAAGCATTTATATGATACCTACTATGTGTCAGGCACTGTGCTAAGCACTTTACAGATATTTCACAAGAGCCCTGAGAAGTAGGTGCTTTTATTATCCTCATTTTGCAGTTGAGGAAACTAAGATGGAGAGAGGTTAAGTGACTTGCCTAGGGGCACACAGCTTGTAAATGTCTGAGGCTGGATTTGAACTCAGGTCTCCCTTCAGATACCTACTAGCTGTGTGACCCAGGGCAAGTCACTTAACCCTGTTTGCCTCAGTTTCTTCATCTGTAGAAGAACCAGGAGAACACTGTACACAGTAACAACACTGTGTGATGACCAACTTTGTTAGACTTAGCTCTTCTAAGCAATGCAATGATCTAAGACAATTCCAAAAGATTCACGATAGAAAATGCTATCCACATCCAGAGAAAGAACTATGGAGTCTGAATGCAGATCGAAGCATGCTATTTTCTCTTTTTTTTGTTGTTTTTTTTTTGTGTTTTC